TTATAACATTATGTTTTTAAAAAAAAAAAAAAAAAGTTTTTAACTTGATTTTTTGCCAAATACACTAGACATAAAGTTATCCTCAGGAAATTTAACAAAGTTAACCAATCTCTCATGTCTCATAAACCAAAAAAAAACCAAAAAAAACAAACAAACAAAAAAAAAACTTATGTACTCTGGAGCTTCCTTCAAATTATTTCCTTAAAGCAGATATACTTTTTGCACTTACATACAGAAGTAGCAGCAGCAGTCAATCTTGTATTTGAAACTACTCCAAATTCCTAAAGAAAGAAAAGCAGATGAGATCAGGTACATGTGAACCCAATGAAACTAAGCATGTCTGAATGTCTGAACTCTATTCAAAACAGAGGATTTCCCTGCTCCCCAGTTTACAATCTGTTCACCTTCTACCCATTTGAGCCATGAAGTACTTAAACCCTTAAATGTATAGGTTGATTACCCCTTATCTGAAATGCTTAGGATCAGAAATTTTTCTGATTTAGGAATATTTTACATTACACTGGTTGAGCATCCCTAATTTGAAAAACCGAAATCCAAAATGTTCCAATGGGCATTCCTTTGAATGTCATGTCAGTGTTCAAAAAGTTTCAAATTTTGGAGCATTTAGGATTTTCAGATTAGGGATATTCAGCCTTTATTACCATTCCCCCAAATTGCTACAACTTAAGACAAATTTTAAAATAATTGTATAATTTAATAACAATAAAAGGTACCAAATTAGAAACCAAGCCTTAAAGTTACAGTGCCAGTTTCTGTATTTAAATTAGCTTCCAAGAAGATTGTTTAGATTCTATATTTAATTGCAAGAATAAATATTAAGTATGTTTCCTATTCAATTCAACCTGTACTAACAGATACTTCATGTCATTTAATGACACAATTTAATCTGTTAATAAGATAAATCTTAATCAATCACCAAAAAAACTAAAAACAAACATATAAACAGTTACTATCCTTTTTGGAACAGGGAGATAAGAATTACATAAGACTTCCAAGATCAGTTTTCATTTCCTCTTTCAACTGAATAACCACCATTGTAAAAATACTAAAATTTATTATGATCCACCTTACATACACAGTCTCATTTATTGCCTCATAAGATTCCTAAAGCTTTCACTTCATTTTAAAATAAAAAAAATCAAGAGTTGGTTTTTTTTTTTTTTTTTT